ATGGGATTGTGCGAAAAAGTCCTCGGCTTACCATTTTATGATGCAAACTTTCCCTCATGTCTACTTTTTTCTATGCTACCTTTCACTGTAACATAATTATTATGCCGACATTTTTTAGCTTTTTCTGCTCTTGCCTCCTCACCTACACAAACTCTTCACCATCCAACTTATCTTCCAAGTCTTCTGTATCAAGAGCTTCAGACAAGACATGTCTGAGTCTGGTGCTATTCCCAACTAATGAGTGTAACTTTGTCATATTGTTTGTGAAAGCCGTCTTCTTCCGTCCGAGCAACTTTTTATTCGAAATGAAAATGCTTGTCACAATTATGAGTAGTATGTCCTAATGAAGCCATTAAATCAGAATAAACTTTATTGAAAAAGTGAAAAAAAAACAAAAAATCCACACGATTTCACAACTACAACTCATCCAAATGTCAACCCTTTGAAAGTGGCGCCAAATAAAACCTTTATAGCCACTAAAGTGAAATTAAATGTACTAAACTAAGGCACCAACTTGATGAGGTTAGGGTAGCCTCTAAGAGACAATAGACAAACGGAAAGTGGGCATTCTTTTTGTTGAGCTAACTTCCATTTCGAGTGAAAGTGTTTGTTGCTGAAGAGTTTCGAAGGTCGGTTCCACCGGCAGACGACGGCGGATTCGTCTTGACCAGCTGTCGATTGGCTTTACTGGAACATTCATGCCGGCGCTGTTTCCGAGGCAATCTCACTCGATTTCGGTGAAAAGGTGAAAACTTTCTCCTTCCTGTGACGAACATAATCGTCACAACCAAATTCAAGTTAACTTTATAAAATGGGGAGTTTTCTTGACTCGTTAGCTTCCATTTGGTTGTGACAATGACGCCCTGCTATGATGAGGTTGGTCAGATGACGGACGAAAGCTTAATACATTTTCACCAGAATCAAGAAGATTGCTTCGGGAACAGCGTCAGCAACAACCTTCAAGTAAAGCTAACCGCCGTCGTCTTCTGGTGGAATCGAGCTTCGAATCTCTTCATCCGACAATTTCACTCGAAATGGAAGTAAGCTCAACAATTATGAAACAAGAAATTGCTTGAAACCAAACTTTTCTATCAACAAGTCAAAGTTGGGGCGACAAAACACAGTTGAAATTTCATACTATTCCACTTAATTTCACTTTACTTTATCTTACAAAAGGCTGGCTTTCAGTTTATACCCTATTTTAGGTCTCATCAACACTTCTGATTGGAGTTGAAATGGGAAAATGCATGTGAAACAACGACATGATACCATTCCGTCACACACACACACACACACACACGCACACGCACACGATCTCACACAGCTACGGCTGCCAATGGGTGAGAAGGCACATTGAGGCTGTTGTCGTGACTACCAGTAAATCAGTAGTATGAGATGTATTCACACAATTTCGTTTAAGCTGATGAACGAGTGGTAGA